TAGTGTTTACCGGATTGTTGTCCCAAATTGCACGAGAGCGATGTGCTTCTTGATAGGATAAATACTTCGTATCTCTTGGCCCATAATGGATATACCATCAAGGATCGTATATCTCGGCACCCATCTATAAAAAAAAAGTAAGAAACCGCCCCTCCGGATCGGGGAACCCGTCGCGTCATGCTCGGAGTCGCCATCGACCGCGCTTTGGGGTGGGTCGAACACCCTTTCCGGTTTTATTATTTAGGTTAAAACCAGAAATCTGGTCTGCGAAAGTTTTAGATTTTCTAGGTTCGGGAGTACAGTTACGTGTGGGGAAGTGTATTCACACCCCACAACGCCCCAAATGGGTACTACTTAAATCGATAAGTTTTTAAGGGTTGGGTGTATTATTATTTGTAGCTTATTGCGTATTATTGTATTCGATTAATTTAAGTATTTTTGTTATTACAATGTGAGCATACATCTATTGATGTAAAATCTCAAAAGGGAAGAAAGAGGTTTTTAGATTGGTTGGACTCGAACCTATTGGTTGCCTACGTACCCGATTTAATCGGGATCAAAGTCCACGTAGTTCGATTATTTTGAACGACTTAACAAAAGAGACCTTAACACGTTTTATTGACACATGATTAAGATAATGATTTGAGTTGTTATGAAATGCATTTTGGTAATTGAGTGGTTAACAATTTTGACATAATTTCGTCATAAATTAATATATTAAGGTATTTTTGCTATAATTTCGTATTAATAAACTCTGATGCCGCAACAAAAATAAGGAGTGAATGTTTAGAAGTGATGAGATTAATTCTGAGGTAAACCAAATTGAGAAATTTAACATGCGTTTAGTAGCTAAGAGCTTTGTGTGTTAAGCTTAGTTTATAACATAATTAACTGGAAGGATTCTCTTCACAAGTAATGGACAAAAAAATGGTTAATTGTTTTGGCCGAGAATGAGTTAACATCTCCCCATTAGCACCCAGGCTAGTTATTCTGCTAACTTGAAAATTCGTTAGTATATACTAACTAATATCCAAAATGTATGAACTAATATCCAAGTCTGCTAAGTATCTAGATAGCACAGACTAGTATTCTAAACATCACAAACTAGTATCCAGATAGCAGATACCAACTAATATCCACAATCAACCAACTAGTATTCAATATGGATACTATTATGTGTTATCTGGATATACTTATGGGTTATCTGGATACTAATTATGTGTTGTATTGATATTATTCTGTGTTGTCTAAATATTAGTTTGTGAATTTGGGATAATAGTTGATTCATGGTGGATATCAGTTAGCAAACTTTGAATACTAGTCTGTGCTCTCTAGATACTTTAGTACTTGGATACTAGTTCATGTATTTTGGATATCAGTAATATCTGCTAACGAATTTTCTAGTTAGCGGATTAACTTTTCCAATTAGCACCTATTGGCCGCAAAATCTCTTCTTCTTTCTTTCATAAACAAAAAACTAAACAGCGAGAAAGAGAGAAAGCAAACAACCCAAAAACCTCTTACCTTTTCCTCCTCCGTTCGTCGGAAAACGAACCAGAAGGAAGAAGAAGAGCCTCGATCTGATCGACTTTTTTCATAGTTCAAAGAAGATTAGAGTTTCGACAGCCGGCCACAAGAAACGACGAGGACCACCCAAGATTGACCAGAAAATGTCAATCTAGGTAAGATTACGGCCTGCATGTATGTTTTCTGTTTGATTTGGGGTTTCAATTTGGGGATTTGCATCTTAATGGTCTGGGTTTTTGGTTTTGGAACGGAGGAATACGGCGAGCGGTGAACGGGGTACTGCTTCGCCGACGATGACAGTGGCGTCGGTGTCGAAGCATCAACCGCGGGCGACTGCAACTACCCGCCGGCGACGAGAGGGCATCGGGAAAGAAGGTAATCATTTTTTAAATTTTCCTATTTCTACCGATTCGCTTGTTTAGATCTTTATTCTGACTAAATAGCTTCTAAACAAGCAAGATTTTTGGTAATATCCTTCTTCTTAAACTGGTTAGGAGGTTTTGAGAGTGGATTTCATGACTGTGAACGGAAAGTGGTCATTGTTTTGAGAAAATGACTGTGTTTGTGAGTTAATATGGGTTATAGGCTCGTTTTTATGGATTGTGACAATGTGGAATTCCCATGGATTGCTAAGGTATCGATTTAGCTCTTTTCCTGGGGTAAAGCTTGACAAATCAAAATTAGTGCTCAAATCCATTTGGTGGTTTGGTTCTAAGAGTTCGGTTTTGTGATGATTGAGTCTGATGATTTTACGATGTGGATTGGAATCTGGAAACCTTATGATATCTGTTGTGGCTTTACACTCTGTAAACTTTGTGGGTTATGAAAATGGTGGTTGAAAGGTGTGCCCGTGGTTTATCATGGTTTTGGGTTAGGAATGGGTTTAGATTAGAGGGGTTCATGGTGACTGTTTTGGGTGGAAATATGGTTGTGGTAATAAACTGGAGCTTATTGTGATTGTTTTGGATTCTGGAAATTTATATTGTTTTGTATAGGGTAAATGCCACATTTCGTCACTGAGATTACTAAATCGTGTCATGTTTAGTCACTAGAAAAATTTAATATCAATTTTGATCACTCGAATTACTGAAACAGGTCACATTTGATCACTCTCTTGTAGCCTCTGTCCAACTCCGGTCACTCGAATTATTGAAACATTTCACATTTAGTCACTCGAATTACTAAAACATGTCACATTTAGTCACTCTCCCAAAAGTTTCCGTCTAACTACATTAATGGAGTTGGACGGAAACTAACGGGAGAGTGACTAAATGTGACCAGTTTCGGTAATTCGAGTGACCAAAATTGATATTAAATTTTTCTAGTGACTAAACATGACACAATTTAGTAATCTCAGTGACCAAATGTGGCATTTACCCGTTTTGTATATGGTTGAAGGCTGAAAATTGTGGATTCTTTATGGGTTTGAAACTGGAAAAATATGGTTAATGGTGATTTGGATATTGTAAAGTCTGGTTTATGTGTGATTTGATGGAGATTGTTTGAGGCGAGATAATGGTTGTGGTAATGATGTTCGTGTATGGTTTTCTTGTTTGGTTGAAAAGAAGGGGAAGTTTAGATGTTATTCAACGAAAGAAAAGAAGTTTAGATGTTAGGGGTAAATTTAGACTGATCCTGAGTTTAGTACTACTACTAATTTGTTGAAAAAAGGTAGAAGTAGATGATTAAGATGATGATGATTAGATATGACAATAGTTAGGTTTGTGTGACTACCAACCTTGGTTGTTCGAGGGTTGGAGATGATTCTGCCCCTTTCCAGATTTCTTGCTGCTGCCTTTTGCTTTCTCTTTTTTTCTTGTGTATGCTTTTTCATGTGTTTTTTACGTGGCTAAAAGAAGGAAGAAGAAAGGAGCGAAAGTGGGATTTTCTTTTGCAGAGTTTTGGTTGTTTGTTTTTCTGTTGGGATGGTTGATGTAGTGGTTGTTGTGAGTGGCTAAGGAAAGAAGTGTGAGGGTTTTTCTTGTGTCTGCATCTCGATTTTCTGTCTATAAGAAGAAATGGTGAAGGAAGAAGAAGATGCTCTTTGCTCTTTCTCTCTCTTCTGTTTTGTGAATAAGGGAAAAAGGAAGAAGAAGAAGTGGACATGCCTCCTTGTTCGTGGGCGAGAAGAGGGAGATGATTACTCTGTTTTCCCTCTCTTTACTCTCTGTTTTTTGGCAGGGAGAAAGAAGTTCTTTTCTGTTCAGAGGAGGAAAGGAGATATGTAGAAGTTTTTTGTTGCACATGGGGAGGAAGAAGGATAAAGAAGAAGAAGAAAGTTCAGCCCCTGCTTTTGTTGAGAAGGAGCAGATCGAGGTAGGGGAAAGGAAGAAGAAGAAGAAGACCTCCCCCCTCATGTAGGCGCAAAGGAGCTCTTTTTATAGCAAATTGCTGCTTGGGGTGCAAGAAGGCTACAGTACCAGTTGTGGTTTTGGGTTCAACCAGTCTGGTTGGGTCAGAGCTCACTAGGTTGACTTTGGTTGACCGGTTTTGACTCATGTTGACTGACTTGACCAAGTTGACTTATTTATTTCTAAATTTTGTTGTGCAATAGTTATTTAGATTATTATGTCATAGTTTTGTAATTATAATTTATAGTTCTAATCAAATTCAATTGTAGTTGTTCTAATATAATTTTTTTTAATTCATTTTTTCTCTTATTGTCTTGAAATCATAGCTCAATCTAATCAAAAGCCAAACCGTCTATGTACATAATTTAATCGTCAACCTAAAGGCAACCAAACCAAGCAAACTGCTTAAAATTAGGTTGTCTCAATCGACTTGATTCATCCCAAACATTACAAATACGCTTTTAACATTACAAATATGCTTTTAGTTAGAAGATTTTATTTAGAAGATTGTTTAAGAGTTGCTATTGCCAACTTTACGCAATCAAGTTTATTTAATTAAATTGTATTTTAACCCGGACGAAAAGTGGTGTCTACAGTTTTGATTGGAAAAAATCAGTAAATCAAATTGTTTCGATTAAAAAAAAATCGCAAAAGAAAAACCAAGAACCTACCCGAAGAGCCTCTTCGTCCATTTTTTGGCGAAAGCCAAACAGAGGTTCGACGAGTTTTTAAGGGACGGGATTTAGGGTATAACTCTAGTAATTCTTTCTGATCTGGAAGATCGGACATAGCCGCAACCACAGAGCATACTTAGAACGAGACTAGAGTGGATGAATGGAGGGAGAAAAAAGTGTAATGTGGTGGTGTGATTTGGAAGAGAGGGGGAAGAGTTTTATTTATAGGGGAAGGGAACTGGCGAAAATCACTCCAGAGCCATCACCGCCTTTGACAAAGGCAGTGAATAACTCGCCTTTTTCGAATGCGGTGAAAGACGAAGATCGTTGACGTGGGAGGCTGTGAGCGTCGGATCTGGGAGGAAAACCAAAATCCGCGCTATTGAAGGATGCAAAAACAGAAAAATACGATGCGGAAACAGATTGAAACACGGACACCGGAGTTTACGTGGTATCCCTGGATGTGATCCAGGACTAATCCACGGAAGAGCTTGAACGCTCTTCAGCTACTGATTTTACTGTGTTGAGATTATGATCGTTCACGTTACAGGCGGCCAAACTTCTCCCCCAACCCTTTATACAACAGACGTACCTAGGGTTGTGCATGAACTAGCATGGGTCTACGTTGGGCTGTAAAATAACATGGGCCCCATTCATCTATAACACAATTAAACCGTAGCCCATTTAAAACTTAATACGCTAACATCCTCCCCCAAATTGATGCCGATCTTTCAGCATCAATTTGCTCCCCAAATACCAGTGACGACTAGTAGAAAAGGACTTTGTGAACAGATCGGCAACTTGTTCTTCTGTCGGGATATGATGCAAGCTGACAGTTCCATCACGAACAAGATCTCGAACGTAGTGCACATGAATCTCTATGTGCTTAGTCCGATCATGAAGAACTGGATTCTCTGCCATGCGAATAGCACTGGTGTTGTCTACATGCAATGCCATAGGCGCAGGGCACGTGATCCCGAAATCAGAAAGGAGACGTCTCAACCACACCATTTCAGATCCAACTTCGGACATAGCACGATATTCAGCTTCTGTTGAGGATTTGGAGACCTTATCCTGCTTCTTGCACCGCCATGATATGTAAGCTCCACCAAGTTGAACACACCACCCGGAGCTGGAACGACGAGTATCGACGCAGCCAGCGTAGTCAGAATCAGAGTAGGCAGTAATTGTAGGCGAACCTGTAGAGGGAAATAGAATACCTACATCCTGCGTTCCATGAAGATACCTCAAGATCCGATGAACTGCAGCAAGATGATCAACACACGGAGCAGTCATGAATTGACTAACTACTTGTACAGCATAGGAGATGTCTGGACGAGTAGCAGATAGATAGATCAAACTTCCCACGATACTACGATATTGTGATCCATCCTTCAGAGGTTCACCATAGTTTTTGTACAGTCTCAAATTCACTTCCATGGGCGTCTTCACTGGTTTGCTGTTATCAAAGTTGTGATCACTGAGCAGATCGGAAATATATTTACGCTGACTTAGAAGAATACCTTTATCATTACGACTGACTTCCAGCCCCAGGAAGTAGGATAGATTGCCCAAATCCTTAATACTAAAAGCCTCTTTTAACCCAGCTTTAAGAAGAGAAATTCCTTCCGGATCAGTACCTGTAATTACCATGTCGTCAACATAAAGGAGAAGAATAACGATGCCTGCCGAAGTGACCTTAGTAAAAAGTGAGGGATCATTGAGACTTTGCTGAAAACCCAGTTGAACAATCGTAGCCTGAAATTTCTCAAACCAGGCCCGAGGTGCCTGTTTGAGTCCGTAGAGTGATCGATGTAATAGACAGACTTGATCCTCACGGCCAACAGTGTAACCAGGAGGCCTTTCCATATAGATCACTTCCTCCAAATCACCATGGAGGAAGGCATTCTTCACATACAATTGATAAAGAGGCCAGTTGAACAGAGCAGCCACAGCGAGCAGAGTTCGGACAGTAGACATTTTTGCAACAGGCGCAAATGTCTCATTATAATCCACTCCATGTTCTTGAGTATAGCCGAGGGCAACCAGGCGAGCTTTGTTGCATTCAATGGAACTGTCAGGAAGGACCTTGATGGCATATACCCAGCGACACCCGATGGTAGGAGGACACGGAACCGGTCGATCAACAACTTTCCAGGTTCGGTTGGCTTCCAATGCCCCGAACTCCTCTTGCATGGCGCGATCCCATATTGGATTCCCATGAGCCTGTTTAAAAGTGGTTGGGACAATGAGGGTGTCCACTCCATAAGCAAAATAGTCATCGAACCTAGGAGGTGGAACTCCCTTGTTGACCCGTAGTGACCGCGAGGTTGTTGTTGTTCTTATGGTGATGGCGGATCCAAAATGGGCATTGGTGAGCTGCTGGTAGTAGAACTTGAGGAAGAAGAGGAGCTGGATGTACCTGGCATGGTGGAGGGCAGATCGGGAGAGGAGGGAGCATCACTAGGGTCATTGGACAAATGAGGCATATCATCCAAGTCTTCATCAAAAATTGGCAGCGGCTGTGTGCCACCAGGGAACTCGAGTTCAGAGATAGATTTGGAAGGATAGAACCTATGATTTTCAAAGAACACAACCGAAATTGCTATTCTCATACGCTGCCCTATAGGATCATAGCAGAGGTACCCTTTGTGCACACTACTATATCCAAGAAAAACACAACGGACAGTTTTGGAAGTTAATTTCGTTCTCTCTCGTCTAGGTAGAAGAACAAAGTAGAGACAACCAAAAACTCTTAACCGAGAATAATCTGGATGATGACCGTATAGGGAAAAGTAAGGACTCTTTTGGTTTAAAACCGGAGTGACTTGATAGTTGATTAGTCGCACTGCAGTTACTACGGCTTCAGGCCAAAAACGACCGGGAACAGAAGAATCAAGGAGTAAGGCTCTAGTAAGCTCCATAACATGTCTATTTTTCCGTTCTACTAGACCATTTTGTTGAGAAACTCCTGGGCAAGACATTTGGCTAAGAATACCACGAGAACGATAGACATCATGCAGAGGAATTGAGCTAAACTCTCCTCCTAGATCTGAACGGATAATTTTGACTGTTTTTCCGAATTGGGTTTGGATCATGTCAAGAAATTCAATGGCAACAGAACGAAGTTCGGATTTGAGTATGAGAAAATATATCCAGGTATATCGGGTCGCATGGTCTATAAACAGAGCAAAATATTTGAATCCCAGACGAGAGACAGTAGGGGAAGGACCCCAAAGATCAGTATGAACAAGATGGAAAGGCTCATTTATAACAGTAGTGCTAGAAGGAAAGGATACGGTCGAGGATTTAGCTTCAACACAACTGGGGCAAGAATGTTTTGCTGGAATTTCTGCAATATTTTTCCCTACCAAAGACTGTTTAAACATGACCGAGAGACGACCTGAGTGTGGGTGCCCCAGACGGGCATGCCAAAGTTCCCACACCTTATTTGATAAACTCGAAAACACAGGACCAACCACAGAAGGATGTTCAGAGACATGAGAGGGACTACTGAAAGACCTAGACATAACATGACTACTAGAAGAAGATGCTGAACTCGAAATATCCTGGAGCTCCTCCAAGTGGAAAATCCTCCCCCGTTTACTCCCCCTTCCGATCTGCCTCCCCGTCTTCAATTCCTGTATAACACAACCAGTAGGACCAAATAAAATAGAGCATCCCTGTTCAGTAAGTTGCCCGACTGAAACCAAGTTCGGAACTAAAGCAGGAACATGAAGTGTGCGATCCAAAGAAATATTAGGCGTGTCAACTTTACCTACCCCTGATACTGCCATTCTATCACCATTGGCAACTGTCAATCCCTCATGACTAATGGATTTAATATTTTGTAGAACCTTTTTATCATTAGTCATGTGGTTATAGCAACCTGAATCAAGCAACCAAGGTTTGTTTTGCACTTTACCTTGAAGAGTTGACAAGGCCGATCCTATTGCAGTGGGAAGGGAATGATGCAAAGCTGCCACCGCTTGGGCAAGTTGCTCCATTTGAGCTGCCATAACACCTCCTGCCACGGTTCCACTTGATTCCCCAGCATCAACATTATAAGCAGGGCGATTGAATCTCCCTTGTGGCCCTCGGCCACCACCTGCCGATCCGGAATTGCCTCCAAACGAACCTGAACTGCCACCGAACCTTTCCGCATTGCGTTCACGTGTGCGACATTCCAAGACAATATGACCCATTCTCTTACAATAAACACAATAATTCCTTCGGCGACAATGCTTCACTAAATGCCCTTTTTCATGGCAATGATGGCACTCTAATTCAGCATTGGGTATTCTACTATGGAATTGAGGACGTGAAACAGCAAGAACTTGTGTTCCATGTCCCATACCTGGCCTTGTCGAGCGAGCAGCAGCTGTGGTGAATGTCTCGCCTTCTCCTGGACGAACATCAAATTGAGCTTGAGTTCTCAAGCGGGTCTCCTCGCGTACCAGGCTGCTGATCACCCCGTCGAAGGTAAGTCTCTCCCTGTTCAGAATATTAGCCCGAACATTCTCATATTCGGGTCGCAGCCTCATTAAAAATTGCATAACCCTGGATTGTTGACGTTCAGCAACCATGTCATCAGACATAGCTTGCGGTCTCAGAGTCAAGGACAACATATCTTGCTCTGTCCACAACTCTTGTGCGGCATTGAAGTACTCAGTCACTGTTCGATCGCCTTGAGTTAAGCGGGCAAGAGCTGTCTCCACCTCAAACTGTCGAGCAGCGCTGGTCGTGGAGTAGAGGCCTGATAGATGGCGCCACATTCTGTTGGCGGTTGGGAATAAACGAAGACTGAGGCAGGTCGATGGATCGACCGAACCAAGCGGCCAGAAACGAATACGTGCGTCACTTGGAGTCCATGTCGCTATCTCCTGAGAAGTGGCCGCAGCGGCAATTGGTTGTGGAATTGAGCCATCCAATATACCAAGTAATCCTTTCCCTTCAACAAAAACCCGAAACTGAAATTCCCACAGTGCATAGTTTGACGATGTGAGGCGCACCGACGGCCTCTCCGAATCAGTCGCGGTCAGCTCTGATACCATATTGAAGGATGCAAAAACAGAAAAATATGATGCGGAAACATATTAAAACACGGACACCGGAGTTCACGTGGTATCCCTGGATGTGATCCAGGACTAATCCACGGAAGAGTTTGAACGCTCTTCAGCTACTGATTTTACTGTGTTGAGATTATGATCGTTCACGTTACAGGCGGCCAAACTTCTCCCCCAACCCTTTATACAACAGACGTACCTAGGGTTGTGCATGAACTAGCATGGGTCTACGTTGGGCTGTAAAATAACATGGGCCCCATTCATCTATAACACAATTAAACCGTAGCCCATTTAACACTTAATACGCTAACACGCGCCTCACTGCATCCAACGGCAGCGGTGAAGCATCCGCGCGACGCGGATCGCTGACGTGGACTAACGCGGGCTATTCACCGTATTTGTCTAACGCGGTGAATTTCCTGCGTTTGTCCACGTCAGCGATCGCGTCGGTTTCACCGTAACCGTCCGATGCGGTATTGGTTTCCTGCACTTTCATCGTTTTACTTTGGTGCGGTGAAGTCTTCACCGTTTTTCACAGCTGCGATGAATCCTTCACTGATTTATCAAAACACGGTGATTTATTCACCGTGTTTGTTTAATACGGTGATTGCATTCACTGCCTTATACAAAGACGGTGAATGTGAAACATGTATAGATTGGAAATTTTTTATAACTTATCTATTTTGACAATTTCTTTTAATTGCTGGTGTATTTTGTGATTTTTTCCTACTTTTGCCACCGTGTCTGCTACTCCGGCTGCGTACAAACTACAAATGCAAGTATGCAACCCGCTAGATTCTGCAACTGCCCATAAAATTTGTCAACTTAGGGTTTAGGGTTGCCCAAAAATTGGAACTCTGTGATCATGGAGGGATGGGATCCGAATACGAAATCGACTCTAACACAGATCCCGTTGCTAGCAACGAAAGCGGGACCAAGAGATGGAGCGGCGTGGACGCAGAGGCTAAAGGAGGAATACAAGGCTCTGATCACCTATACCCAGATGAACAAGTCCAAAGACAACGATTGGTTCCGCATCTCCGCCGCCAATCCCGAGGGCACGCGGTGGACTGGCAAGTGCTGGTATGTTCACAACCTTCTCAAGTACGAATTCGATCTTCAGTTCGATATCCCGGTTACGTATCCCTCCACTGCCCCCGAGCTCGAGCTTCCGCAGCTTGATGGCAAGACCCAGAAGGTAAAAACTCAAATCTTAGTTTGGGTGTCGATTGTTTTCCACCCTTTGTGGTGCGTAATCGGCCTCTGAATTGTGGGTGGAATGGTGTTCTGTAGATGTATCGAGGAGGGAAGATTTGTCTCACCATTCATTTCAAGCCACTATGGGCAAAGAATAGGTATGCTGCTGTGAATTTTGGTTTCATAATGTTGAATGGACCCAATTGTTCTCGTTCTTCTTGAGTTTGATCAATTCCATTTTTTTCGGTAATTCGATTCCAATTTTCAGAATTGGGTTGCTAATTTTTTTTACAAGGCAGAATTGAGTTGCTCTTATAAGAAATGGAAATGCAATCAGATTGTAGAATAGTGGAAAGACAAAAGTAAAGGCTAGGAGCTATTAGTATTGAATTTCAGGTCGTAGTGCTAGTTTTTTTCAGACTTTGTAAGAAATGGAAATGCAATCGGAATGTAGAATCGTGGAAACACAGAAATAAGTGTAGGAGCTATTAGTATTGAATTGCAGGTCACTATGCTAGTTCTTCCAGGTTGAATCAATAGAATAGGCTGGCCTGAAGTGGCTTCCACTATCAATTTGGACTCTGATTTACTTGGGAGTTGATTGTAGTGTATCTGATTGTTTGCCTTGCAGATTCTGCTTCATTATATATGTTATGGAGTTGTTTATTGTAAGGAACTTCCTTTCAGGTGACAGGGCATTTATTTGAATGATACGACTTCAAAAAATTTATAGATCAGAATGAAATATATCTGGTTGTGATTCAGATTTGAAATGCCTCCTTACCAGAGCAAAGAAAGATCAATACTCTGAATATAGAGAGATCAAGGCTGTGAATATAGAAGCAATCTCACTCCATATAAAAAGCTTAGTCTATAGTTTGAGTTCACTAGTTCTCATAGGGTCGAATGCCTTGTAGTCAGTTCTATTTAGCTATCTGCAGAGTTTGACATTATCCTGATATTTGTAGTCTCTTATGTAAGACAGGAAGCCTGAGACCCAGATTTTAGAGCTTGATTCACTGCATAAACAACTAATTAAATCTTTGTGCTTTTTGTCAACTTTTTTCAGTCCCCGGTTTGGGATCGCACATGCACTGTGCTTGGGACTTGCTCCATGGCTGGCAGCTGAAGTTCCCATTCTGGTGGATTCTGGGATGATCAAGCACAAAGATGACGCAACGTCATCAAGTGAGTCTTAATTTAGCACAGTTGGCAATGCTGCTGTAAAAGGAATGTCATCAGACATCGTCCGTCTTAACTACAGAAATAAAGATTGAGAGTATGTTCTCAATTTGTTCCAAACATCAAGTGTACAATTCTGTGGAGCTCACAAATGTATACAGTTTGAACGTGGAAATGCAGATAACATCATAGGAACTTGTTTGGCTCTGATGGTTGCTTGAATTTCCAGATTACACTCCTTTTTCTTTTAAAATTTGCTTGGCTCTTATAGCTCCTAACCGTTGCACCGTACTCTTTCATCGTGATTTATAACCGATTTCAAGGGGCACCAAAATTTCGGGCTAAGTAAGACTTTTGGCTCTGCATCAGTGTTGATATCATTACTTAACTCTGCCCTCTTCCATTTTGTTTTCTGTTTATGACAACTATATACTGATTGTTGCTCATTGTTGGGGGTATGACTAAAAGAGAAACCCAAACCCAGGCCCAATAAAGGATTGGGGGCCCGGATGGTGTCCAGGGCAGGATAGAACCGGGTAGGGAAGTCCATCAGGCCAAGTCCAAGCGGGAGTGAGGAGAGGCTCTGATACATTCCAAGGAGCTACAGGTTGGCAGTGGTCCCGGGAAGGAGAGTTGGTCGGGGCGCCTAGCCTAAACAAAGTACAAGGCATTTAATGACGTGCTGACGTGGAGCTGAGAGAGGAGCATGATCCTAGGGTGTGTAAGTATAAATAGTGTCGGTAGGTAACATTTAAGGGGGACGGATTCTCCCTCAAGAAACTGGGGCATATCACTTCTCTCTCTAAAAGTGTTTACTAACTTGAGCGTCGGAGGATTAACGGGCCAGGTGCCCACCTCTGTGTGCACTGTGTGTAGGTGAGGCGCTCAAGAGCAAGGCAAAGGTGACGTGGGACGGGCGTTGGAGTGTTTAGTCTCAAACAATTGGCGAGCCAGGAAGGGAAGAAGCCGGTATGGAAATGGAGGCGCCTAAAATAGAGGAGGAGGACGTTAGCGTTCAGGAAGACAGACGCTGCGCAAAGGGTAAAGAGGTGGAGGCTTTGCGAAGACCTGTACCGGCATCCGGACCGATGTATCAGAGTGTCGCTCCGCACTGGGCGCCAGCGAAGCGAATGGAGCCCGGGCGCCCGTCATCTCGGGGAATCGGCCCTTTTATGGAGTTCAATGATACGCTCAAGAATGTGGTCCAGCATGCGAGGGAGAAAGATTATCATGTGCGATGGCCCGACCCGATGAGGGGCCAACCTAATGAGCGAAACCTGGACCGGTATTGCAACTTTCATCGAGAAATGTGGCACCATACCGCCGACTGCTATCAGCTGAAAATGGAGTTGCAAGGATTGGCGGAGCGAGGGATGCTCAACGACTTCGTCAAGAAGCCAGAAGAAAGGACGCATAGAACTTACGCAGCAAGGGCGGAGGAGAAAGTGGTTGAACTTCCTCCACCGCCATTTGACCTGGATCAAAGTGAGGTTCCTGAGCGAATTCGGCTCACCGTGGACTCCATTACGGGGACAATTGATTTACGAGAGAAGTTGGAGGCAAGCAGGCGCCTGCGCACTGCCTCTGTGGATGCAAGGGAGGCAACCCACATCATGTTCAATCAGACACCAAACGAAGCGTACGGGCTCCCTTCTCTTGAGGCATTGGAAATAAAAGGCGTAGTTGCAGGATGCAAAGTCAAGAAGATGTTGGTAGATACTGGGTGCTCCATCGAAGTATTGTTCAAGGACACGGTAGCGCGCGTGCAGTTGTCGCCAGATTTGATTCGACCGTCAGAATCGCTCCTAATCGGATTTTCAGTGGCGCCCACACGAGTGATCGGACGCATACGCCTACCTGTGACCCTAGGGGACGAAGAGCAAAGAGTCACCCACACAATAGACTTCGGGATTGTGGATTGCCCCTCCCCATATAATGCGATACTCGGTCGACCGCTCTTGGCGTTGTTCAACGGGGTGCCCTCCGTGCCACCAGACCTTGAAGTTCATCGCTCCCAAAGGAGTAGGCGTATCACGCGGAAGGAACGCCCCGCACTACACTAGGGAGGAGAAACCCAAATGCCCATGCCATGAGCAAAGAATGGATGCGATAACAGAAGTCCCCGAGGAGGCACCTCGTGCGGAAGCAGCCGATGGAGAGATCTTGGTCCCCATTGAGGAGGGGCGGCCCGAACGACATGTAAGGGTATCGGCGCAGGTGCCTATGGAAATAGTGGAGCCGTTGATTGCTCTCCTAAGAGAGTTTGGCGAGCTCTTCGCATGGAGCACGGAAGAAATGTCGGGTGTGGCGCCCGAGAAGGCTGTCCACAGGTTGGCGGTGGAGAAGAGAAAGAAGCCAGTCCAACAGAAGCGGATAAACCTATCTCAAGAAAAGGAGGCAGTGCTACGGGTGGAGGTTGAAAAGCTCCTCGGGGCTAACCTTGTAAACGAGGCCAAGTATGTCACATGGTTATCCAATGTTGTGTTTGTGCCAAAGTAGTTGGGAGATTGGAGGATGTGCGTGGACTTCACTAGCCTCAACAAAGCATCCCCAACTGACGCGTACCTCATGCCTCGCATAGATCAGTTGGTAGACGCCACCGCTTACCATGAGATGCTCAGCTTTGTGGACATGTTCTCGAGATACCACCAGATTCCCATGGCGGAAGAGGATCGGGCCAAAACCGCCTTCATGATACCCTTCGGTAATTATTATTATCGGGTCATGGCCTTTGGACTGAAGAATGCGGGCGTCACCTACCAACATGGTCAAGAATGTTTCCCGTGAGCAAATTGGGCGGAATGTGGAGGCCTATGTGGATGATCTGATCGTGAAGAGTAGGCGAAAGGGAGACCACCTGAGTTATTTGCGCAAAACGTTCGAGACCTTGAGAAGGCACCGACTTTGCC